GGATAGTATAGGCATAGTATAGGCACTTGCATAGGATGCAAATAAGGTACAAATAAATTAATGAAAAGCAAAGTTACAAAAGCGGCTCAATCCTGTTTAATTTCTTTTAGGGACAACCATTCCCAATGATGTTGTAAGAGACCTAACATTTTCCCTCTTTCAGTAATTACAAAACTCCTGGAGGAGTCACCTATTTAATGTTGGGTACAATTTACTAAAAGCCCTCACCATCAAGGGATAAGCAAATTAATCACAGAGTGAAGGGGATTTTTACAAATCTGTTTGAACATCATGGATCATGAATGAGCTGATAAAAGATGGGAACTGTCAGCTTCAAGAACACTTAAAAATTGCTCAGGGGCTGGACACAGTGGCTCATGCCTGTAATTTTAGCACTTTGGGAGGCCGTGGCAGGAGCATCACTTGAGGTCAGGAGTTTGAGGGCAGCTTGAGCAAGAGTGAGACCCCATCTCTACAAAAAAAAAAAAAAATAGAAAAATTAGCCAGGCATGGTGGCATGATCCTGTAGTCCCAGCTACTCGGGAAGCTGAGGCAGGAGGATCACTTGAGCCCAGGAGTTTGAGGTGGCAGTGAGCTGTGATGACACCACTGCACTCCAGCCGAGGTGACACAGTGAGACCCTGTTTAGAAAAAGAAAGAAAGAAAAAAAGGAATAATCTGATATAGGTAGTGGCATGGATGAATCTCAAAAACAGACATGAAAGAATATTGCTCTATGATAAATTTTTACTATAGCACTGGTTCTTAAAAAAAATACCAAATAACAAACAAACAAACAAAAAAAACTGCTGAAAGCCACTGTGAATTCTGATTCCTGTGTGGCAGAAAGTTATTTACATGATGTTCCTTTGGACTAGGAATTAGAACACTTATCACACATATCGTAGACTCCGACTCTGGAGATGGTAGCCCTGAAGTGAAGGTGTGATCATAAAATAAACCCTCAGTGCTTTGCCAGTGCCTGCCAAGGATGGCACGGTCAGTTTCAGGCAAGGTTTCATCTGGCTCTATTTTCCGTTTAATGGCAGAATAAAGTCTCCCATAAGGAGCCATCGAAGAACACGATCAATTTAGCAAGGCTTGGGCATATTACAGAGAACCCTGCACACGTTCCCTGACAAGGGCAAATAAACCCAGGTCCTCGTTGAAGAAACTTCAATGTTTTCTGAGTTTTCTATGCAGATAAAGAGTAGACAATTATTCCCATCTCGGCAACTTCCTTCATTTCACGACAGACTTGCCTCAGCCTTCGTTTAAAAAGGAAGCTCCCTTGCCCTGCTGTTTATTTATAGAATACATACCCAGGGGGGAGGCTAGAGACAGAAAAAACTGAAACCTTATGAACCAGGAACCACCAATGACCACAAATGAGAAAATCAACTAAGGAGTATAACGTGGGGTTTCCCAAAGTATAGGGCCCACACAACCAGCAGTTTGCAAGATGACTTTAGGCAGTAAGAGAATACTAAATAATGCTTCAGGGGGTTCACAGCATTAGATAACACCAACATACACATTAAGAAAGTCACCTCTTTTCAATTCTTTTTCAGTCCTGCTCATGTCTTTTTTTTTTTTTTCCCTTTTTTTTTTTTTTGCCCAGCCCCTGCTCATGTCAAAGAGAAACTCTCAGTACAGTGGTGTTGAAGAGCTCTCTAAGCCCTGGGCCTCCCGCAGGCAAAAGTATCCTGCTAGCTAATAACATTATTTCTTTTTATTTTTATGCATAGTTTTAATTTATGGTAGGGAAGCAAATTAATTTTAAAAATAAATTTAAGTTAGAAGGAGTCAATTTAAAGAAAAATGCTAAGTAGGTGATATACGGATCTGGCAAAACTTGCGACGGTGGTACGTGGACGGCTGCTACTGAGGGGCAAATGCAGGCGACGGGGGTGGGGGGTTCATCTGGCTCTCTCCAGCCTGGCCTGTGCACACGGCAGCTGTGAGACTTCGGTTTCTTCATCTATCAAATGAGGACATTCAATCAAATCATCTCTTCTGTTCTTACCTACTCTGGTGACTTAAATGTTTCTGAAATTATGCCAGGCAATTAAAAAGTAGGATTTGGCTTGCCCCCACAGTTATCTTGTTCCCTGTTGATTCCCCAGAACCTAAAACATTACCTGGCAAAGACCTAGTGCTTAATGTTTATCACTTGACCGAATACACTGAAAAAGAAAAACATACTCCTTTTATGTATCTGTCATGGAAAGTGAGGCACCCCAGGGTTAAAGACGGGCATTTCGGTGGCCTTACAGCAGGTAACGTCAGGAAGGAGAGCAGCCCTCACATCTCAGACGGGCTCTTCTGCCACCTGTCAACACCCAAGCTGTGCATTTGGGGGCTTTTATTTCTGAACACAGGGGCAAAGATTAATTGGATGGGAAATACTCCGGTGGATCCAGGTAAACACTGCATCAGGGAAATGAAGTTTAGTCTGCTGCTAGGGGTAAGGCAGAAAAGACATTTCACAATTGTCTTTTAATGTTCCCATTGATTTTGAAATCCGGGGATCTTGAGTTCTAATACCTTAATCTTCAGAGTATAAAGCAAAATCTAAGAATAAAGAGAATGTAAAACATTTTCATAGGATCTTGTCCTTCTCTGGACATCTATCTATATCCCATCAAATTTGACAAACGAGTCCTGGTCCCTCGGAAACAATAATGATTATCACAGCACCAGCAACAACAATGTTAACCATGACCACCCCCACCATGGCCAAAGACGTAAGAGCAAGGGGCTCCATCTGCTAAGTAACTCCTCTATGCCAGGCCCCATGTCAGCGGTTCATATACATTCTGTCACTTTCTCTCTCACGATGTTATGAAATAGGAAGCACTTCTCCCATTTGAAAGATGGAAAAACCAAGGCTTAAATAAGTTACCAAGGTCACCTGATTAGTAAGTGGCATGACCTGAATTTCAACCCAATCCTGTAGGTGTCCCTAGTTCATGCTACCTTTACCTTCTCTCAATGCTTTCTGTAGCAGATACTCACTGTGCATCAGTTAGGTACAAGGCACAGAGTTCGATGTTCCCATTGACATTCTTTATACTTCTTTGGAACTGCTTTAACAGCAAGTAACATGATAACAACTTTACAAGTTACCAGTCGGCTTATTAACCTTATTACTGCTGGTATATTTTTAAAACTATCCAGTGCTGCTTATAATTTTTTTCTTTAATTCTGCTATGTGAAAATTCTTCCCACAATGTTTTCCACTTGGAAAACATTATGTTCTTGAAATCTGAGCATAAGGCTGCAGCTGTTAAATAGTGTTGCATTTAACCTACCCTGATCTCTGAAACTAGGTTCCCGTAAAGAGAAACTGATTCCTTGAAACTATCACTAATGATAGTTAACAGCTAAAAATGAGACAACGAAGAAAATATTCTCTTGTATGGAAGCCCCAGGATTGATGAGACAGAATAATTTGAGAAACAGGCCATTCTAATTCCTTATCATATACATCTTCTCCATCACAGAGGAAAAGCATGCTGAAATTTCCAAGTAAATGGTTAAGCTTGCCCAGTCATCACTACAAGTGTGGCCCTGCCCCCAGGATTACTGTTCATGAGGTGCTCACCTCTGCCCTCCTGGCCACGTTGTCTGCACCTCGCTCTGACTGAGACCATTCCTCCTCTGCACTTTCCTCCAAGGCCAGGCTATGAGAACACCTGGTTTGCATCCCAGGATGCTTTCCCAACTCTCTCCCCTGGATATTCCCATGATGCTCTCTCCCCACTCTCTCCTTACCTACATCCTCCACCACTCCCTCCTGTAAGGGGATTTGAAAATCAGCATACCTAACAGGACCTCCTTCCAGCCTTTCCCAAAAGCCTGCTGGACCACCCCATGACCCCAAAGGTCCCACAACATCTCAAACACCTCTCTCCTCGCTTCTCCTGACTCATCGATTTCTGCCGACAGTAACCACATCAGTCTGGCCTCCTAGACGCCCATGCATCTTTCTTTCACTTTATTTCTTGCTCACTATTCCTGTTACGCAAGGGTGGAGAGGTACCAGCACTGGAGTCAACTTGTCCAAGTCTAGCCAAACTGTGCTGCTTGATAATGGCAATTTAAATTTAAATTAATTAAAGCTAAAGAAAATTCGAAATTCAGTTCTTCACTCACACCAGCCACATTTCAAGCGTTTGATAGCCACATGCAGATAGGAGCTACCACATTAGCCAGCACAGCTTAGGGGTTTATAGCCCTGAAAGCTTCTTGCAACAAATCCCTTAGGCCAGTTTGGCTCAACATTTACTAGGAACATAGGGTGGGAAGAAAAATTCCCACCAGGTGTGGGACTTTGTGAGTCAGACCACAGTCCTCAGCCACCACATTCAGTCTGTGTCCTCATGTCCCCTTCCTCCCATTTCTGTAGAGGTTGCTCCTTCACACCCCAGATTCCTTCTACCACCAGATGTCAGAGGAATCTTCTCAAATTCACATCAGGGATTAGGCTGCACCAGTCTAATGTCCACCAAATAAAATGTTAACTCTGACCACCCCATGTGGCCCCAACTCAATTTCCTAATCGTGACTCCCATGTCTTTGCCTACATCCCAGATGACCAGTTCCCTGTCCCCATGCAAACCCCACACAGCCTCCCGCTGTCCCCTTGGTGTGGAGCTCTCCCACGCCTGGCTGCCCAATGGACTCCTCTCTGCCTTTGGGGTTGGTTCGAGTGTCACATTGCCATAGGCCCATGCCTTCTAGACTCCCTTCAAATTTAGAGCCCTGGTCCTGGCATAGTCTTTGAGAACTATTTTTAGGGGGCTCTTTGTGTGTGTATCAGACCTTTGAAACCCCTCAGGTACCCAATCCCTTCCCATCTGACCCATTGAACCAGAGAAATCGCCCACCACAGGTTGGCCTGCAGAGAGGTGGGGGAGAGCTGATAGCAGCAGTTCCAGTCTCATTAAGGGCTGCCTTTTTCTGGGTAATCCGTGGTGTTAAAAATCCATACTCACTCTTTAAAGAGCACAGCCTTCTTTCCCAACTGCTACTGGCTCCGGCAGAAGCTGAAAATGAGATTCTGGAATCACAAGAAATAAAATGACAAAGCATTAAATCAACACAGGCAAAGTACAAATCTCCTGTGGCTTTACAGCATGCCTTTTGTTCAGGTCACCGCCCCCAATTAGGCAAATGTGCACAAAGAGCACGGCATCTCAGATAATAAGTCAGGCCCAGGAAGGGCTGAAGGAAATGGGAGAAGAAACCCCATGAGTGAGCAGCATGGAATGTGCTGCCTGCTAGTTAACGCTCTCCTCCTCCACCTGGGATGGAGGATTCACCTAGACGTTGTATTCAGAAAGGAAGGGAGGAAAGGCAGCCACCAGTGGGCAAGTGAGGATAATGTTGCTACTAGAATGACAGCAAACAGGGGGTGGCATCACTCAAAAACCGGGCTGGGCAAAAGCAGGGGCACACCGGCAAAGGCTGGGCAGTATAATGAGCGGCCAGGCAAAGGAAACGGAACCAGCAAGGCCCCTGAATTGTGTCCGATGTATCGAAGAGTTAAACATAAAAAATAAAACCACGAAAGTTCTAGGAGAAAACATCAGGACTCTGTTTTAATACATATTCACGGGAAAGGGCTTTCTAAGCAAGGTATAGAACCCAGAGGCTATAACAAAAAGAGCACTAATTGCATAAAAATATTTTTAAATGTCCACGTGGAAAGAGATAGCATAAACAAGATTAAAATTTGTTAATACATATCAGAGGCAACAGACTAATATTAATTTCCTTAATGTATAAAGGGTTCCTACAAGTCAGGAAAACAACAACAAAATCTAATAGAAAAATAAGCAAATGATCTAAACAGATAATTTACCAGAAAGGAAATGGAAATGACTCGAACATATAAAATGATGCTCAATCTCATTTACAATAAGAGACATGCAGATTAAATCTACAGGGTGATGGTAATCTTTATTTACCACACTGGAAAAGAACAAAAAGTTTAATGACAGACTGTGTTGCCGAGACTCTGGAGAAATAGATGCTCTCATATAACGTACCAGTTTACATTCCCATTGACGAACTCTACAGACGGCAATTTGGCAAAATCTGCGGCCATGCAAAACGGGCGTACCCTTGACCTAACGATCTTCTGTTCTTTTTTTAGGAATTTATCTGTTTATATCTGAAGATGTGTGAAAATATGTTTGTACAAGGTTATTACAATATAACTTATAACGGCAAAAGACTGGAAATAATTCAAGTGCTCACTTATAGGGGACCTGTTAAGTAAATGATGGTATAGCTTTATAAAGGAATATTATATATAGCCATTAAATACAAATAAAAGTTAAATATAAGCCATTAAAATAATGAGACAGCACTATTTATCCCTACAGGTAATGACCTCCAAGGTACATTAAGCATGGAACAGGAGACAGTGGATAAAATAAACACCTCTAGCATTAAAAAAGACAGAGAGAGAGAAAATACGTATGTTATGCTTTTACGTGTGTGAAATCTTTCTCAATGGTTACACAAGAAATTGGTAACCACGGTTGCACTGGGAAGGGGAACGAACTGGGGGGCTGGGGACAGTGATGAGAGGCAGACTTTTCACTGATACCTTTTGTACCTTTGGAATCGATGCCATGTGCATATATAAAGTTTTTTCTAATAAATTAATTAAAAACTACAATATAAATGTAAATAAAATGGTTTATCCTGTACTGCCCGATACAGTAGCCACTAGTCACAAGTAGCTGCTTAAATTTAAATTAATTAAAATTAAATAAAATTTAAAATTCAGTTCCTCAGCCGCACTAGCCACATTGCAAGTGCTCCACAGCCACACGTAGCCTGTGGCCATCCTATCGGACAGCAAAAACATAGAACATTTTCATCATCACGACAAGTTCTATCGGCCAGCCCTGGACTTGTACTCGTTCAAAAGGCCCATTAGAGACAGCGACCAAACCTTAACTGTTTCTCCTGATACGGGAAGAAATACGAATGTGGCTGCTGTTAGGATGAAAATCCCTCTATCTGTACACACCAGCTAGGTCGCCTAGCTGCCCGCTATCAGTGACTGGGGGACGACTGCCCATGTGACTGTCCAAAGGTTAAGCCTGCTTGGTAAGAACTTTAGTCCTTAAGGCTCAAAATCCAGCACTCTGTGATAGAAGATGGTAAGAATTTAAATTTTTAAAATGATAACATTCTTATCATTCCATGCTAGAACCACACAAGCTACACAGTCCGTAAACCATAAATTCTTGTCTCCTTTGTGGTTCTGGGAGAGGTACTGGTTAAAGGGTTCACTCTCTCCTGCTTTGTACCAAAGCATTAGCAACTGGTTCTCCAGGGGGGTTTTTGTTCACGAACCAGCTCAGCCCATGGCCCCTCCCTGCTTCTGCCACCCGGGCAGCACTGTAGGCAGGAGAATTCAGCCCAGCCAGGCTGATGCTGTGGGTGGAGGATTACAGAGAAGCAGAAAGCCCTGCTCTGCTACTCAGTCCCTGGAGAAGTGACAGCCAGAGGAGGCACAGGCAGGCAGCTCAGTCGGGAGCTCAGATGGAAGGTAGGAGCCTTGTGTTATCCTATAGCGCAGCTTTCGAAAAATCATATTGGCCACGAAGCAAGGCGATGAAACACGTCACACATGCCCTGACTGGGCCCGGCACCTTGAAAACCTCAGCCTCCTGGGTCAAGATGTGGGCTGTGGCGATAGTCTGAAATAACCACCTGCTTGAAATCATGTTTAAAACAAGAGAACGCTGCAGAAATATAAGCCAGTCTCCTGCTGGATTACATAGGAGCCCAAAGCTACCTGATCCTTTACCTCCAAGGAGCCCAAAGTCTTCAGGCTGTAGCAGAGCCCACAACAAGCTTTTATGCAAACGCCTCTCTCTGAATTAGCGCAAGCACATGCACTGTCATCAGCCCAGGTCACCCCTCAAAGGCAAAGTGTTAGAAAGGGCATCATCTAAGTGACTATTTTCCATACTACTGAAAGGAATGAAAATAGCCCCTCTCGGTGTGCTACAGCAAGAGGGCAAACACAACCTCAGCACCCAAATACGTTCTCCCATTGCCCAAACCCGCACTCCTCGATAAAGGGAAAAGTGAGGCGATTAAAGAGGGATTTGTCATTTCTAAAGGAGGTGAAGCTGGTCTACAGTACTGTGTGACTGCAGGAACAAAGCTGAAGTTAAACAAAAAAGGAGCCTTGTTAATAAACAGCGGCAGGTTTTAACGGGAGATTTTGGGCTCTGGGCACAAACTCCAGTATTTAGGGCCTTTTGTGAGCTGATCCCCACCTTCCTTCCAGCCAGAATCTTCTCCCCGGAGATCTCAGTAATCCAGGAAAATGAGCCCCAGGAAAAGGAACATGTGGTGAAGCCCCATTCGAAATTTCAGGAGTAAAACACAGTTTTGTTTGGAACTTTATTCAAACGAATAAAACAAAAATCAAATCTGTCTATTTTAAAAGCAACAGTAAACACTAAACAGAATTTAGGTTATAACTACAGCCCTGTACTAATTCTTAGAACAAAGAATACACCTCGTGTAGATTGTTTTATAGTACGGTGAGTCCTTCTAATTAACATTTGGTCATCACAGTGCCATCACAGAGGTCATTTTTGCAAAAATATGGTATGGCTTCAAGGTCCTTTCAGTTCTTAGATTTTCAAGTCTCTCCCCTAAAGGAGTGTTCCTCCCTTCTCTTCATCCATTGTTGACAGGTCGCACATTGCCAGACCCTATTATTGCCTTGACATGTCATTTAAGCAGTTCACTTTGATTTCATGAAATTCTGCCTCTCTTATAAGAGTTGCAATTTTATTTTCACTGTTATCTTGTATTTGCAAGACATCTGACAACCTGGGAGACCAAGGAACAAAATATGGATGCCCCTGGAGCCTGGCTGGCCACCGAGATTGGAAACAGGGAGAGGGATGATAGAGTGGGATCTAATTTTGTACGTGGCAAGTCCATTAATGAGTATTTTCCTGTTATGATAGCTTCTGTTTCCCACCCACAACCTGGAAACTGTGAGGAATCAGATACTAGATAGGCTAATAATCTGACCCTCTTGTGACTACCTGCACTGGCTTTCTGTTTTTGTCCATTTTCCCTACTCTCACTACTTGCAAGACACCCTCTACCTACCCCATCTTCTCCTTTAAAATCTTTCTGGCAGAGCTAGAAGTTATCTCCTTCAGTTAACCTTTCCTCAACACCCCCCGCACCCCCTTCCATAACATCTGCTTCATCCTCCATGCCCTGGAGTATCTGGTCTGAATACTTCCCCCTCATGGCATTTGGGATTTGTGCCTTATGAGAAGACTGCTGTACCTTCCACTAGCCTGCAAGCGCCTCGGAGACAAGCTGGACCACATCTTTGCAGCTGTCACAGTGCTTGGCACCCTCTGTGCCTTGCCCTTGGCAGGCACTTAGTAAATACCAAACGATAAGCTGGAAAGTCAAAATAGAAGTGACTGCTCAGTCTGAGAAGAAACAGTCCCTGCAGCCACCATGCAGCCTTAGGTGAAGTCATGAACCAACAAGGCTGCCCACCAGTGTCAACGCAGTACATTCCTTCACTCTGCTCCTTATGGCCACCAACTAAATGAACACTCCTCATCAGAGCAATATAGTGTTAGAGATTCTAGTTCAGCTGGGCAGCTGGCTCCCAGAGAGGTTAGGGAAGCTGCCCAATGTCACACAGCTTTCTCTTCCTCTTCCCCAAGCCATCAGCGGCTCACAGCGGCCCTCAGCATGATATGGAAGACCACACAGGATTTGGTGCGTGCCCATGTCTTAAATGTCTTTTGTTGTCAGTCCCCCCTTACCCCCCTCTACTCTTTATCAGAATGATCGGCAATCCCCAGACATGTCATGCTCTTCTACACCTCCAGGCCTTTGGCATGCATGCTCCCTTCTCCTGGGCACACCTAGTCTCCCTTTTGCCTAGTGAGCTCCAGGTCATCCTACGAGTCTTGGCTATTAAGGCATTACCCCTATCTGCAAATGCTCCTCTGAGGGTTCAGTTTGCAATTTGATACTTGGGTTCAAATTTCTGCCTGGCCACTGATTAGATATGTA